AAAAAAAAAAAAAAAGGAGAGGACAATTTAAAAGCAGCATAAAAAGTAACAGGTAGCAAAACTGTGATGGTGGCACTAGAATTTTTGAAAACAGGTAGATTTGCAGTCCTAACAGTATTGGTACCCTGAAAGGAAAGGCTGCAGATCACATTCCAGGCCTTCCTGCAAGATTTCTCTTCCACCTCTACCATGAAGCCTCTTCCAACACAGTGACCTGATTAAAAGTCACTCCCTCCACTGTGCTCCCAGATCAAGTTCTACACCTGTGAATTTAAGCATTTATTAATAGCCATCTCTTTATATTTCCCTCTCCTCTAGAATGTGAGCACCTTGAGACAGGAGTTATATCTTGCTATTTTATCCATAAGACATCTATTATGATGCTCTTTGACACAAAATAGGTGCTTGATGAATATTTGCTGAAAAAATGACCTAACACTCCCCCCCAACATTTGTTGTTGTTGTTAAATGAGAAAACAAAAGACAATGGAAGAAGAACGTTGTCAGAGATCCTGATATCATAACTCCAATCCAGCACCTCTTATCCCCTACACTGGGTAGCAGAATACCTTTCTGACCTTAGCTTCAAGTACTATATTAAATGAGAATTCAGTATCTTTTTTTTCTTGTTTGATACTAGGGTTTGAAAACAGAGGCACTTTCCCACAAAAATTACACCCCAGTCCTTTTTTTATTCTTTATTTTGAGACAGCATATAGCTAAATTGCTCAGGCTGGTCTTAAATTTGGGATTCTTCTGCCTCAGCCTTCCAAATCTCTGAGATTAGAGGTGTTCATCACCATGCCTGGCTTCATTAACCCACTTTAAAGAGATCACATCACATGCAGTGTTTGGAAAAGCAAATAATTCTTCAAGAAATTTAGCATTTTCAAGAAGAAACCAGTCATACCAGCACAAGGCAATTATAAAGACACTTTTGACAGCATAGAATGGAACTAGGTAAATATCTGAGGACATTCCTTCCATTTCCTTCTAATGGCAGATGTAATGCTAAAAAATACTAGACTTGAAAAATAGAGCTCACTCTTGTCATAAATGACATACGCATATCAGAGCACTTCATCATAAGGAAATTATATACATCTAAGGGAGTAGTAGTAAAATAGGAAAAACAGTAAGGAAGAGCCTATTTCAAATTCAGAGGTTGCCCCTACCAAAATATGGACATTTCTCTATTACATTTAGCATGTTTTAGGGGGCTTAGGCAAGTACCTAGTAAGCAAGTAGACTGGAAGAATCTTTAAGCTACATAGGAAATAGTATTCTAACCAGAATAAATCTGTCAACAAAAGGTACAGGCGCTGGATGCAGTGGCCCATGCCTGTAATCTCAGCAGCTTGGGAGGCTGAGAAAGGAGGATCGAAAGTTCAAAGCCAGTCTCAGCAAAAGCAAATCACTAAGTAACTAAGTGAGACCCTGTCTCTAAATAAAATACAAAATAGGGCTGGGTATGTGGTTCCATGGTTAAGTGCCCCTGAGTTCAATCCCCAGTACCAAAAAAAAAAAAAAAAAAAAGGTACAGGCCAGCTACACTAAATAAGTCTCTGGGGTTCTTATTAAAAATATAAATTAAAATCCAGCATGGTTTCTTTATTCACCACACCTATTTACTATTCTATCTCCATTATTAATACTGTAATGCAGGGTTCCCATTCGGGGATGATCAAGTCCCTGTTCCCAAAGCCTTTTGCTGATACTACAAAGGATCCATTGGAAGGCTGAAAAGGTAGACCCAGATGTTGTTCCCAACATGTAATCAGTAGGAAATAAGGCCTGGGCCTCTGAGCTTAATAACAGGGTTAGGCCTATAGTCAGAGTTGGTATAGCCCAGTGGTTATAAGCTCAAACTTTGAGAGAGAGTCAGTTTCTCCATCTATAAGAGGGAGAAAATAGCCAGATACAGTAAAACATGCTTGCAATCCCAGCAAATTGGGAGGCTAAGGCAGGAGGATAACAAGTTTGAGGGCAGCTCAGCAATTTGGTAAGATACTGTCTCAAAATTAAAAAATAAAAATAAAAAGGGTTGGGATGTGGCTTAGTGGTAAAGCACCCCCTGGGTTCAATACTCAATACTAGGGGTAGTGGCAGCGGGAAGAGTATATGGACTCTCAGGGCTAGGAAAGTAGCTCAGTGGTCACACACTTACCTACTACATGCAAGTCCATGGGTTTGATCCCCAGCTTCACAAAAAAAAAAAAGAAAGAAAGAAAGAAAGAAAAAGAAAAAACAAGATATGGATTCTAGAGCAAGACTGCCTGCATTCAAGTCCTGGCTCTTCCAGTTAAAAGAACTTCTTTGTGTCTCAGTTTCTTTATGTGCAAACCATCTATCAGTTTTATAGTATTAATGTGAAAATTAAATTCAAGGGCTGGGGATGTAGCTCAAGTGGTAGCGTGCTCGCCTGGTATGCGTGCGGCCCGGGTTCGATCCTCAGCACCAAATACAAACAAAGATGTTGTGTCCGCCAAAAACTAAAAAATAAATATTAAAAAATTCTCTCAAAAAAAAAAGAGAAGGCAGTGCCATTTGAGTACTGCAATATTGTAACGATCTTACAGTTTGGCTGCTAAGTCCTCTATTCCTTGAAAATTAAATTCAATAGTAACATATAAAGTCACTAGAAGAATAGCTAGCCCCTAATCACAGTACTTAATAAATGTTATCTTTTTTTTTAATACTGAGGATTGAACCTAGTAGCCACCATTGAGCTTTTTTTATTTTTATTTTTTTATCTTGAGAGATGGTGTCACTAAATTGCCCAGGCTGGCCTTGAACCTGCAATCTTCCTGCATAATCCTCCAAGGTGAAGGATTACAGGTGTGTGCACTACACCTGACTGTATTGTTACTTTTTATAATGATTCCAATTACAGCTGTTATTTTACAGAACTTAATACTAACTTGATTATATTTAACTTGGAATTAAAATGAAATGTGTTTGCTTTCTTTAAACACAAATTAGTTGATTATAAAGGGAAAGAAGGGTGGTAGGTACAATGTAAAAGTGTGCAAGGCAACTGGAAACAGACCAGGAGAAAACACATGCTGTGGATAATCCAAGCACAGATTATGAAAATATAAGGGAAGTAGGTAAAGCTGGGTGCTAGGTAAAGCTGGGTGCTACGGCACACATTTATAGTCCAACTTCTTAGAAAGCTAAAGTGGGACAATCCCTTGAACCCACATCCTGAATAAACAAAGCAAGACCTTGTCTCAAAACAAAACAAAAAAACACAGAAAACAAATAAATAAATAGATGAAGTAAATAAGATGGATAAAGGGATACATAAATAAATTTGTAAAAAAGCAAACACAGTAAAAGGTTAATGGTGGAATCTGGATTGTGGCTATATGAGTGCTTATTGCAAAATCCAATTTTGCTTTGTGTTTAAAATTTTTCATATTAAGCTCGTCGGGGTGGGAGAAAACAGAGGCATCAGCCCAAGTTTTGAGTCAGAGCCACGCTGCCTATCCTCAAAGCCCAAACTCTAGAGCAAACTTGGAAAAACCTAATGGTTTTGGAACTCTTGCTCATCATCAATACTTTCCTACATCATAGGAGCAGTGCTCAGGTGCTAGCCTATACCACCACAGCACAAATAGATATAAGCAGAGAAGTGCCGCCTGAGAAGTGTCAACCTCACAGGATTGACATTATCACCCCTTCTCAGGAAAACTTCAGAAATAAGGCTCAAGGATAAGGAATGGTAGGTGGAGGGTAGACTGATGGGATACACTCACTCATGGACTCTGTTGTCACCATAGAGATCACTCAGGCCAAAGCTGATGTAGTGCCAATGCTCAGGAATGTTGGCAGAAGGGCTCCCCATGTTCCTGTACATGCTAACATAGTCCAAGGGGTCTGGGCCACCCAACCTGAAAAAGACAAAAGACAGGGGTGTCAGTATGATCCTGGAAACCAGACAATGTCAAACTGAGGGGCTCTGCTTTGCAACTCAAAGGCCCCATCCTGGAGGAATCTGGGACAAAAGATAACTAAGGAGAGGCTACACCTCTCTGAGGATGAGACCAAGGGATAAGCAGCTGAGGCTGCCCAATTCCCCATGTACATGAAGCTCTATTCTCTTACCTCCAACAGGCAGGGCCTCTTTTAGAAATAAAACAGACTGGGTGGTTGCCCATTTTGTTTTCTCCTGTTTCAAATTACTGATCCCAAATGGGATTGGCAGGGATTAACTCTTCTTCTATGGTGCCTGTAAACATGCCAAGCTTCAAGGCAAGAGGTACATCAGTCAATCAATTGGCCTCTGTTGAATGACCATCCGGAGCATCCCCAATGGGCATTGTTCCTGGAAGCAGAGGCTCTGCTCCAGTACTGCCTCTTAGACAGCTAATTCCTGAAAGACTATATTGTGCCCTATGTTAATTACAGTTTGTTCTAAACAAACCCAAAGCCTCTAGTCCAAGCACACCCTGCCCTGAACCCCATAGACCAAAGCTGGTCTTTTATCATTGTAAGTGACAAAGGCCAAACTTAGGCTAGGGCAGCTCTGCACAGAGCACTACAGAAGAAGCAGGCTGAGCCCTGTGAGTGCCTGCATCCCGATAATCCCAGGAGACTGCTGTCTCAAAGAGAGAGCTGGGACATTAAATGACTTGGGGCCCTGAGGACCACATTAAATTTCTCTCACAATTTCAACAGAGAAGTAATTGAGGAAGAGATTCAGTCATTATTTCACTCTGAGAATTTAATTCAATAAAGGTTCCCTTTAGTAGCATAATTAGTGCTTTAAAAAAAAAATCTTCAGAATAGACAGGGACACTTGGTAGACTTGAAAAACTGACTAAATGGAAACCATCAGCAGAAGGAAGTCTGCATTTAGCCACAAATGCTGCTTTTGAGCTGCCTCAAATACCTGACCATGGGGGGGAGGGGGAGCTGGGGTTGTGGCTCAGTGGTAGAGCGCTCCCCTAGCATGGGCGAGGCCCTGGGTTCAATCCTCAGCACCACATAAAAATAAACAAATTAATTAAAGATATTGTATCCAACTACAACTAAAAAATAGATATTTAAAAAAAAAAAATACCTGACCATCCCACGGGCTGCAAAAACTTGCTGGCTCCTGGGACTCTGATAGAGTATACTCTGCAGGTGTATTAGTTGAAGGGAAACTAATGACCAAACAGAAGACACAGGCAGGTAATTCCACTATGGGTGCCAGTACCATGCAATTTTACACTATTTAAAACCAGTAGGTTGGGCTGAGGATGTAGTTCAGTAGTACAGCCCTGAGTTCAACACCCAGTAGCATGCACACACGCGCGCACACACACACACACACAGTAGGTACTGTTTTATCCTCTTTGTCAGGATATAATTTGCCTTTGTAGAAATCCTCATTTTTTCTGCTAAGAAAGATGTTATTTATAGAACTTATAAGAAAGTTATTGCGAATAGCTTAGAATCTCAACTGAATGAGTAAGGAAAAGGGAAAAATCTTCCCTTTTCCTTACTCATTCAGTTAGGATTTCATGTGACTAATTCCATGACTGGGTTTAGAAAAGTTTGCAGGGGGAAGGAAGAAAGAAAAGGGTAGATATCTCTGGAAGAACCCCATTACAGCTGCAGAACCCCAGAACAGATGGAAGTGACTACAAGTCCCACATCTGCTCTAGTTTCTTGCTGCAAATTCCCATTGGTGCCCCTCCTACAGCCTAGGACCATCCAGCAACAAGCAGTGAAACTGTGTTCACTATTCCCTGCTCCAACTGCCACATCACTGCAGTACTCCTGCCCACCAAGTTTCCCAGGAGGATGTCACATTAAGAAAAAGTTTACTAAGAGTCAAGGAATGACCAAGTACCCAACAAAGTTAGCCCCTATCGCCAAGCTATGAGTGTTCTATTCTAATACTCAGACTCAGGTGAGTATGTGGAAAACAATCAATTTTGCACTTGGAAACAGATATTATCCAGGGGCCCAGAGTATTCTTCACCTTAATTCCTCAAACATCTGACTTTTCTCCACAAGGCAGTTGCAAGATTGGCATGGAGCCAGGGCATAGGCTCTGCCTTTCTGCTTTGATACTTGCTAATCAAAGTCTCAGTTTTCAACCAAAATGTCCCTGTTGGTCAGGGACCACTTCCAAAGAGCCATCCCTTTACTGTAAAAATAATTCCAAGGCACCCTGAGCCATAGCCAGACCCAGGCAGCCTGGGTCAGTCATCCTCCTACAAGAGCTAAAGAGCATGATGTGAAATATAAGGGATATGAATTAATTTCAGTATCTTAATTTTGTAAATTCCACCCCTCCCCCCTGAATCTTAGAAAGAACCACACACTGAACTATTCTCAGATTTTTTTTCTGCATCTAGGTGGAATTTCTAATTTCACAAAGTGCTACACAATCCCCCTTATTTGAAATTGCATGCTGACCCATCTCTAAAGATGGCCTGGCTAAAAAGCTTGCTGCAGGAATTAAAAATACTGCTGTGGGGCTGGGGATGTGGCTCAAGCGGTAGCGCGCTCGCCTGGCATGCGTGCGGCCCGGGT